ACGACAGACATCAAGCACATGCTTCTGTATCGTCTAACTTACTCTAAATGGGACCATAATGAAGGAAATTAACATCATGCTGTTTTAAAAATACTTTAAACTAGAAATCGAGGACATAATCGTGTCAGGAAAATGCAATCGGAGTTAAAAATTCACATTTTCTCAGAAACTCCTATTACATTTTGCAATATGTAGACTTAGACAGAGTGAAAGTTTAAGGCACTTCCACATTGGCTTGTCTTTTCTGACCTGGAGTTTTTGCCGCTTGTGTTTCAAATGTCAAATATCCTCGCTGCACTTCCAGTCCTATAATGATGATCTGTTAAGCACACAGGATTATAAAGATGGCTTGAGGCTTAAGTGTGTGTTCAATATCCTGCATGGCGTTAGGATTTAGGACACCTCAGCTTATTGATCTATTTAATAGCTTTCCAATATGATACTGGTAGCCTTGTTGCTTTTTTTTGCTTGGTTGCATAACACAGATACTATAAAGATGCAATGGAGAGGGGCTTAAATGGAAATGTGTTGCATTCAAACTTAAAATATCCACAGTATGCGGATTAGTATGATGAGGTTTCTTTTTCAATGTCAAAACCATTTTTTCTCCAGGCGCAACCACACCAGAAGGACTGGATCTATTTATAGCCTGGGTCTATCCACCGAGACTTATTTTTTTCTTCCTGTGTGCAGAGAGCATGATTTAACGGAGGAAATATTGACCATCTGGAAAATGTACTGAAACTGTTTCTAAAGAACAGTGCGAGGGAGTGTGACAGTTTCACTGCTCCGCTAATGGTCTGTTATTGCAGGACAAGAAGGAAGCACAGACTGTGGGTGTGTGTACATGTGTGTAACAGTTTATATATGCTAAGTGCACATGTCTATAAGCTGTTGTGTGTGTATGTGTTCATGTGTGGATTTGTGTTTGTTTAATCAAAATGCTTTAGCTCCAAGCTGTTGTTCCTCTGGATCAACGTGGGAGTGTAGAAAGGGGGTGTGTAGAAAGGGGGGGTGTGTGTGTGTGTGTGTGTGTGTGTGTGTGTGTGTGTGTGTGTGTGTGTGTGTGTGTGTGTGTGTGTGTGTGTGTGTGTGTGTGTGTGTGTGTGTGTGTGTGTGTGTGTGTGTGTGTGCGTGTGCGTGTGCGTGTGTGCGTGCGTGTGTGTTGAAAATACAGGAGAATTGCCTTTTGCCGAACACAAGCAGCTTCAGTGGATGTGACACATATTAAGATACTTCCAATCATAACTCAAATCTAAACTCATATACTTCCTACACTTTTTAGATTGAGTTAGACATTACATTTAAAAGTAAAAAGGTACATACACCCCATTACAAATCACAGAAATAAGCCCCTTTCTATGTCTTCAAAACTGTCTTCACAACATCATGATTATACATTTACTTTAGTGTCAAACCAGGACAGCATTAGTTTTCCTTAAGCAATGACTTTGGACACTATTGTGAGTGTTATTGTGATATAATAAACAGATGGTATCATGAGTAAACTAGCTTGGGTGAAATGCAGACGACTGATCATTTTGAATTGTGTATTTCTCTGCTCAAAACATGCAAATGTGAAGTACCTTAAAACAATACAAGAACTTTTGTACAGTACTTTTTTCAAAATACATAATATTTCTTCCGTCAAAGTTAAGATAATCTGCAAACAGTATATTCATAAATATCCCCACTGTTTTTCTTAACGTGTGGTGCTTTCATTTGAATAAGTATAATAATAAAAAGTACAGAAATAATGAATTTGCAGTTGCAGTTAGATTAATCGTGCAAAACCATTTTCTATACATTCATTGCACTGCTAACAGTAACAATTAGTAGCTAACTTTGCATACTTTTAATGTGACTTATATTTCAGGTTCAGGTTATTCATAATGTCAGACTTTATAACCTCTCTACTCTACAATAACATATCTCCGGATCAGATTGCCAGCTAAAGTTAAACTGAAAAGGATGACGGTGATAAGAGATGACAGACAAAGCCAAAAATGGTGCGTTAGTAAAAAGTGAAACTCAAGCCGTGTCAAACATGGACTTCAACGTTTGTGTTTTCTTCTTTGTTCTCAGAGCTTCATGTGTCAGATTGAAAACCCATCTGATGCTTTAATGTCGTTTTTTTCTGTATTGTTGCCGCCTTGTTATACTGCCAAATATCTCTCCTTTTCTTCCTGCCTTCTCTTGTGAAACCTCAGGACGCACATATCCCGCTCAATTTAGTTTACCTTCTTTGTGCAGAACTATCAAATATGCTGCTGTAACAGAGATTTTCAGGTGAATAGAAAATGCTCTTTCTCCCGCTTGGATTGTTTGGGTGATAAAATGGAGGAGGTAATGGATACAGACTGTCAGTGTAGTTACCTTCTAATGAATACAGTGCACACAATTAGGTCCAATAGGTATATTATCCCATTAGTGACACTGCATTAGTCGGGGTGTCCGCGGGGTCTTAAAAAGTATTAAAAGTTGATCAATCAATTTAGCGAAAATGAAGGCAATTAAAAAGTATTAAACGGCATTTCCCAAGGTGTTACATTTTGTAGCTTGTTTTCAATGAGTATATAAATTGTCCAAAGAGGTTGTATTCTACAGTCTGCCTGAATGTAATCATTGCGTAGGTGTGTAGTGTGATTCTGTGTAGTTTATTTATGGCATCCCGTTGGGTTTGACGTCATCTGAACAGGACATCGCACGCTCACTGCTTGATAGCGTGCGAAGGTCCGTTTACGCCGGTTGTTAAACAACATCGTTATGGGGAAATGCAAGTTTGCGTCCAAATGGTTGGAAGATAAGGAGGAAGGACAATCAATACTGTATATAGTCAATGTGAGGTAAAGTGTGTCGCCAATGTAACCGGTTAGAACTCCAAGTGGCGATGAGGTCTTAAAATGTATGGAAAGGGTCTTAAAAAAGGTCTTAAAAGGTTTTACATGTGACTTCAGGATTCCTGCGTATACCCTGGTAATGGATACAGACTATCAGTGTAGTTACCTTCTAATGAATACAGTGCACACAATTAGGTCCAATAGGTATATTATCCCATTAGTGACACTGCATTAGTGTAGAAATCACATACAGTAAAGCATTATAAGTTCACTGGCACCTCACTATTTCTATAGCACTATTAAGAGAATAATATAGAAATATCACATATGTCTTATATAAGCTCAGCATTGATCACGACGTAGTGATAGTCCTCATGGGATCATAATAAAACTCTCTTACAGTGTTTTTATTTATTTATAGTACAATATGACCATTTGGTGCCGTGCCGCACTAATGAACAACTATATAATTGTTATGTTTTTCATTTGTGGTTTATTGCCAGTCATAATGTGGTTTTGATTGCAGCTTTAAAGTCTGCACTGCTGTTTGTTTGGCTGCTTTACAGCTGTCGTTATGTTTCACTTCTTAATAACACTCCTCCTATTCCACTTTTCTGAGCCATTATAAGATAAGATAAGATAAGATAGTACTTTACTTATCCCAATCTGGGAAATGGTTGTGTTACAGCAGCATTAAAGGCATGGCATTGTACAATAACAATTAAAAAGACTAGAAATAAACAAAAAAGTAGAAAATATACATGTTGAATTTACAAATGAACAATAACAAAAACTAACACTTTATATTAAGGTACACAAATTAACCATCAACTAGTTTAATTAATTAATTAACATGCATATTAGCAGTATATTGGCTCTTTATTAGTCATTATAAAACACTTAATAATGCCTTATTCTACATGACCATATTCTACAAGTAATAAGCCATTAGTAGCAGTGCTGTACTGCCATGCTATTCGGTTCCCTTTCTCCTACTTCCTGTACCCGGTTTCCTGTCTAACCTTCAGTACACATTTTACAAATATATAAATGTGCAAATATGAAACATGTCAATATCACCTTGCTATAGAATAGATAGAATGGGAGGGATGAAACCCTCTTTAATGGTCACACATGCAGAGCACACAGCACACACAGTGACATGTGTTCTCTGCTTTTAACCCATCCTAGTACCAGGAGTCAAGTACTAGGAGCCAGCTATTGTACAGCACCCAGGGAGCAATGGGAGTGAGGGGGGAAAGGGGGGTGTCCGGTGCCTTGGTCAAGGGCACCACGACAGGGCAGGAGGTGAACTGGGACCTCTCCAAGTAGCAGTCCACACTCCATATTTAGGTCTGTTCGGGGACTTGAACCGGCGACCCTACAGCTCCCAGCCCAAGCCCCTACTGACTGAGCCACTGCTATTGGTAGCTGAACTGTCAATACCCCAAAACATATTCTTAGATATAAATACCTAATTCTGAGTTATTTAGACACAATTAACACTTATAGTTTCATGTCTTGTTACATAAGAATAGATCATATTTGTTAAGTGTTATTATGGGAGAATTACTATTCTTGTGGTACTACTGCCTTATTAGGCCCATATTGAGCAGAGCATATTAAGACCAAAACTCATGTACAAGGGAGGCTGTGGCTCAGTGGATAGGGTGCTGGACTTGGAATCAGGGGGTAGCAAGTTCAAACCCCACTGCAGTCAGCATGTCGTTGTGTCCCTGGGCAAGACACTTCACCCCAAATTGCTCCTGTGGGGATTGCCCTAATTAGAGGGTTATTGAGGAAAAACTCTCAACTAATGGCTTGTTACTTTTAGAATATGGTCATGGAGAATAAGGCATTAAGTGTTTTATAATGACTAATAAAGAGCCAATATACTGCTAATATGCATGTTAATGAACAACTAGTTGATGGTGAATTTGTGTACCTTAATATAAAGTGTTACCAAACCAAATATAAAGCAGGTTATTATATATACATAAGTATGTGAGGGATGGAATATTAAATATTAAACTGAATATCTAAATGTAAAATGTACATCCCCCTTTTCCCCCTCATAACTCTCTTTCTATTTCTAACCCTTCCGCATTATCATCTTAATATGTTTTTTTAATTTCTCTCCTCTCCCTCCTCCCTCCTCAGGAACCTTGTGGAACCTGTCGTCCTACGAGCCCCTGAAGATGGTGATCATAAACCACGGCCTGCAGACCCTCACCAACGAGGTCATCATCCCCCACTCGGGGTGGGAGCACGAGCCCAACGAGGACTCGAAGCCGCGGGACGCCGAGTGGACCACCGTGTTCAAGAACACTTCCGGCTGCCTCAGGTAGGGTCAGCACGACACACATGGAGCTCATGAGGATTCAGTTGTTGTGGTTTCTGAGTATAGCCATTGATTCAGAGAAATACTTCACATTCATTGAACACTGGGTTTCAATTTTAATAAGCCCAACAATGCAGTTTAAGTGGTTGGTCAAAAACAACTATTGCACGTTTTACACAGAGGTACTGTATTGCGGTTTGGAGATATACAGCTTTCTAAAAACTATAGGTCACATCCACCCATCACTATCTTGTTTTTTGCAAACAGTGGTTACATAAGAGGGACAAGCTCAGAACAACCATGCAATTCACTTTCATGAACAGAAAACATTGTGAAGTTTCAAGATGAATACACTGACACCACCTCAATGGGACAATACTGAATGGGAGCAACCTGTCAATAACAGAAATTAAACAATCATTTTTCACTTTTTTAAAACAGGTTAAAGCCAACTTTATTTTTGATGATTGTTATTGTTATTGTTATTATTATTATTATTATTATTATTATTATTATTATTATTATTATTATTATTATTAGGCACCGCTTTCCACCTTCTTCTCCAGTAGGACTCAGATGAGGGTGTACTCTGTAGGCTGTGAACATTTTTTTTTATTATGAAGGGCAGACCATCTATTTGTATTTATTTTGTTTTTTTTAGAAAGGGGCAGGTCATATAAGATTTTATTCTTCTCCCTGCTCCTTTTCGCTCAATGGTGTGTTTATAGAGACACGTTTTTTTGGCAATTATTGTACATTTGGTTATGCGTACCATGAGCGGGACAAATACAAATGAAATGAAATGAAATGAAATCATTCACAACTGCAGCCACACAGAATTCCCCCTGGTCATACACTCTTAAATGTGAATTATTGAACATAAACAATTTAGCAAACCTAGGAAACAATCCAGTTGTAAATGTGGAATGACCCAGAAAGACATTAGGCAAAAGTTGAGAGACACATGTCAATTTGGGTTTTAACCATGGACACATTATAGAGATTACCCTGGATTTTATAGAGTGGACCTTTAACACGCCGACAGCCTTGAAGGTTTTTACTGACTGAGCAGTTGTATCTGGGGACAGGTGAGACATATATGAGACTGCACATGTGCATTGTTGGCTCTGAGCCAGGGTCAGGTTCAAATTCTTTCGGTACTGAAATAATGTATGATATGTGAGAGGCGTGTGAAGTATTCTGGTTGTCTGTCTTCAGTGGGATTGCATGGGTCACTTCAGGAAAACATCAATCTCAGCACCTCTCTTTGTTTGTTGTTGCTCTGAAATAGGAGGCTTTGTATCCACTCCACCCTGGGAACAATGAGCAGCCTCAAACAAACAGGCTACGATTACATAATTACACAAATGAAGTTGGACTGAGGCTTATTCAGGCTGAGAGGAGATAAATTGAGTCCACAGTGCAGATCGCTCCCTCTTGACAACAAGTCAATATGTCTTTCATTTTGTTGGTGAGTAAAACAATAAACACACATTGGATTGAATTAGGTGTTCTACCAATATGAGACTTTTAAATGGTCCTTATTTAGGGAGGCCAAGGCCAATATATGATGTCAATATTGTATTTTTTTCACGATAAAGAACAGAAATTTGTATTTATTTAACACCATAAATGTCTGCTCATTGCCCAAGTAGAGCCACACTCAATCTGCATTGCACTTATTTTTAAATGAAAAAAAACTGTATCATGACATATTATTGTTAGTCCAAAAGTCCAGCTAAATGACACAACAATAATCCAGGTTACATCTGAGAAAATTGCTGTTTTTTAGTGCCTTTTAGTTTATGTAAAGCACTTTTGTAATCAACTTCTGTGACATCATTGTACAGAAATAGATCTTGACACTATAGTAAAAGCTGATGCTTGGTGGCATGATGTCGATATGCAGAGATGGCAAAAGTACACACATCCTTTACTCAAGTAGAAGTACAGATACTCGTGTTTAAACATACTCTGGTGAAAGTAGAAGTACCGACTAAACTTCTTTACTCAAGTAAAAGTAAAGAGGGCTTTGAAATGTACTTCAGTAAAAAGTACCCATAACTAGCAGCTGTTTTAAAGAGTACCTGACCTCATATTAATAGAACAATAATGTCATTGTTAGCTAATGAATGTTTCCATGCTGAACAACGGCAACATGACAACGTTTTCATTGGTCCCTCTTCTTTAGAGAAGACCAGGAAATGATGGATACACGGATCGTGTTCAAATCAATAGGCACGCAATGACTCTAAATAATAATGATCACGCCACCAAACACACATTCAAACTAAAGGAACCAGCCTGTTTGGAAAATGTAAGAAGTAGAAAGTACAGGTATTTGTGTTAGAAATGTAAGAAGTAAAAGTAAAAAGTCGTCAGAAAAATAAGTCGTGGAGTAAAGTACTGATACCAGAACAATACAGTAATGAAGTATTTGTACTCCACTACTTCCCACCTCTGTCGATATGACAGATGTAGTTGGTGTGTCTGCAGACATATTCTGTCAAACAAAAATGGCAAATATTTCAAAATGGCATTAAATGGTCCGATAAATTGGTCTATCTTTAATGAAAAAAATGAAATTATGAATGAGGATGTCTGATGTCATAAACCCTAATACTGTATATGAGCTGTCTGTGAATGATTCACACTGCTCTGCTCCGACTGTTTTCAGCGACTGTAAACAGAGACCTTGAGTCTTTGGTCAGTCATCCAAAGTAGTGTTAACTTCTCCACAGACCTCCTAGAGCTGCGGGCAGTAGTATTAGTCCTCCAACATTTCAAATCCAGGGAAAACATGTAATGGTCAGGAGCGACAACGGCACCACAGTGGCAGCGGGGAAATTGTGGTTATGGGCTACAGAGGTGGTGTTATCTCTGAGAGCCCTCCACACTCCGGGTCTGAAGAACAGGGGGGTCGACCTCATGCTGAGGGGCGGACCCCTGCCAGGTGAGTGGGCGATTCACCCGGAGGTGGTGAAGCGGATCTGTTCGCCAGCCGGCGCAACACCCACTGCGCACTGTGGTGCTCCATGGCTCTGAGCGACGACCCGCCTTTAGGGGTAGACGTGTTGCACACGAGCCATGGCCAAAGAAGCTCCACAGTGACATCCCTCATTACTCTGACCCTGCCTGCTCCGTTTGTTTTAGGAACTGAAGGGTCTGTTTCAGTCCTGGGGGGGGGGGCTGTAGTCTGAGATAATGGCTTGGATGTTGGATGTGCCCTTACTTACTCGTACAGATGGAGAAGACTATGGTGTTACGGCCTCTTGGTCTCTGCAATCACATTTCTATTTGCTAAAGCTAAAGGGTGATTGTTTGGTTTAAAACCTGTTTACACTCAGTACACTGCTGCCTCAGTAGAAGGTGTTCAATCCATTTGACCCCTGACCTGCAGTCAAACAACATCCACAATACAATCCCTTACCTTTGTTAAACATATGTATAGCTACACTGATGATTATTTGATATATTATTTAACAACTGCTTGTTATTATAGTAATTTACGGTAGTCACCTATTTTTTGCTTTTGAACCAGCAAAAAAACATGTTTTCATTTAAACATCTTTAGATTTTTGTAGATAGATAGATAGATAGATAGATAGATAGATGGATGGATGGATGGATAGATAGATAGATGGATGGATGGATGGATAGATGGATGGATGGATTGATCGATGAGCTGGCTGGCTGGCTGGCTGGCTTCTGGCTGGCTGGCTGGTGGCTGGCTGGCTCGCTGGCTGGATGGCTGGCTCGCTGGCATGGCTTGCTGGATGGCTGGTCGCTGGCTGGCTCGCTGGCTGGCTGCTCGCTGGCTGGCTGCTGGCTCGCTGGCTGGCTGGCTGGCTGGATGGCTGGCTGGCTCGCTGCTTGGCTGGATGGCTGGCTGGCTCGCTCGCTCGCTGGCTGGCTGGCTGGCTCGCTCGCTGGCTGCTGGCTGGCTGGCTGGCTGGCTGGTGGCTTGGCTGGCTGCTCGCTCGCTGGCTGGCTGGCTGGCTGGCTGGCTGGCTGGCTCGCTCGGCTGGCGGCTGGCTGCTGGCTGGCTGCCTCGCTCGCTTGCTGGCTGGCTGGCTGGCTGGCTGGCTGGCTGGCTGGCTGGCTCGGCTGCTCGCTGGCTGGCTAGGCTGGCTGCTGTGTATCTCTAGATCGGTATGATCGGACTGTTTGCGTTGCAGCAGCATAAAAAACAAGGCAATGTACATTAGAGAAATTAAGACACAAGAAATAAATAGTCCAAAATATTTCTGAAATAGAAATAGTTCCAGCTTTTTGAAACTGAGCATGACAGGGTTTAGATAGATAAACATGTCAAATTGCAACAGGCATTTTTCATTGTCTTCTAACATTTTCACGAGTAAATGATTCATGAATTATTCGAGAAAATAATGTATTCATAATCGCGAGTTGCACCTCTACACTACATCAGAGCAATCCAAAGGCGTCCCTTTGGCAAAATTATCCACTCTCCATCCCTTGAACACCTGATATTAAAATTGAAGGTAATTTGTGTGAAAAGAGTGCACCTCGGAAACTGCAAACCCTCAGTCACACATCCTCTGGCTCGTAAATGCTGTCATCAACCGAGGAAGACAACTGGAATTCCTGTTATTAACTTCCAAGTAGCTTTCCCTGTTTTCCTCTTCTGCTGTCATGTTGGCTTCAACTCAAGATGACAGGCTGTAGTAAAATGTGAGAGACGGAGTGTGTGTATAGTGTGTGTAGAGTGTGTGTGTGCGGGTTATCACGCCAGTCTAGACTGTAATCCAGGGCAGAGCGTTTGTTGGTGTAGACCAGGGCTATTCAATTAGTTTAGAATGGGGGCCGGTTGATGAAAATTATCCAAAGCAAGGGGCCGGCTAGAAAAAAAAAATGGCTTGAAATATGAGCAATCATATTAAGAGCTTCAGATACAGTAAATACTACAACAGCATAGTGGAGTGCATATATTTTGTTTAATTAAATCAAACATAGCCCCAAGGCCTTTATAAATGGCAAGTTCA